CTCGTGTTCTCTTAGTGATGTCTGAGGCACTCATGCCCTCTGCTGATTTCATCCCAGCTCGAATCACTGAAAGGAATGACAAACAGAAAAACCTCTAGAATTCAGTCCCGTTACTGGAGAGACAGACAACTAGCACAGGACATGGGTGGAATGTTCCACATTGAAGAAGATCTGTTCTCTAATCTTCAAACTTTGATAAAAGTTCTGAACTTTTCATCACACATTTATTGAATGCTAATCAACAACGCCTTGTGGACATGCACTCCATATTCTAATATTGCACTGCATGTACATTCCATTTAACATTCAAATGTTTAGAGCACTATTCATATAAGAACGTAAGAACTCGCAGCAGGAGTAGGCCATCTGGCCTCTCGAACCTGCCCCGCCATCTGATCTTTGAAACTCAGCTCCACTTACCCGCCCACTCACCATAACCCTTAATTCCTTTACTGTTCAAAAATTTATCTAGCCTTGCCTTAAACACATTCAGTGAGGTAGCTTCAACTGCTTCACTGGGGAGGGAATTCCACAGATTCACAACCCTTTGGGTGAAGAAGTTCCACCTGATCTCAGTCCTACATCTGCTTCCCTTTATTTTGAGGCGATGCCCTCTAGTCCGAGTTTCACCTGCTAGTGGAAACAACCTCCCTGCCTCCACCTTATCTATTCCCTTCATAATCTTATATGTTTCTATAAGATCTCCCCTCATTCTTCTGAATTCCAATGAGTATAATTCCAGTCTACTCAGTCTCTCCTCATAATCCAACCTCTCAACTCTGGAATCAACCGAGTGAATCTCCCCTGCACCCCCTCCAGTGCTAGTATATCTCTTCTCAAGTAAGGAGACCAAAACTGCACACAGTACTCCAGGTGTGGCCTCACCAGGACCCTATACAGCTGCAGCATAGCCTCCCTGTTTTTCAACTCCATCCCTCGAGCAATGGCAGACAAAATTCCATTTGCCTTTTTAATCACCTGCTGCACCTGCAATCCCACCTTCAGTGATTCATGCACAAGGACACCCAAGTCCCTTTGCACAGCAGCGTGCTGCAATTTTTTACCATTTAAAACATAGTCCATTTTGCTGTTATTCCTTCCAAAATGGATGACCTCACACTTATCAACATTGTACTCCATCTGCCAGACCTTTGCCCACTCACTTAGACTATCTATATCCCTCTGCAGACTGTCAGTGTCTTCTGCACACTTTGCTCTACCACTCACCTTAGTGTCATCTGCAAATTTTGACAAACCACACTTAGTCCCCAACTCCAAATCATCTATGTAAATTGTAAACAATTGAGGTCCCAACACTGATCCCTGAGGCACACCACTAGCCACTGACCGCCAACCAGAAAAACACCCATTTACCCCTACTCTTTGCTTTCTACTGGTCAACCAACCCTCTATCCATGTCAATACATTACCTGTAATACCGTGCAACTTTATCTTATATAGCAGCCTTTGGTGTGGCACCTTGTCAAATGCCTTCTGGAAATCCAGATACACCACATCCACAGGTTCCCCATTGCCCACTATGCAAGTAATGTACTCAAAGAATTCCACCAAATTAGTTAAACATGACCTACCCTTCATGAACCCATGCTGGGTGTTCCCAATGGGACAATTTACAGCCAGATGTCTTGCTATTTCTTCCTTAATGATAGATTCAAGCATTTTCCCCACTACCAAAGTTAAGCTAACTGGCCTATAGTTACCTGCTTTTTGTCTACTTCCTTTTTTAAACAGTGGCGTCACATTGGCTGTTTTTTTTGGATTTGTATGAAACATAAAAGGTGACCAAAATCTGGGAAAATTTTATTTTTTAAGGAAGAAAGAAAGAACGAAAGAACGAACGAAAGAACCTGTATGAATTTCCTAACCATGGAATGTCTCAAAGAATTTCACAACCAATGAAGTACTTTTTTGAAATGTTGGAAATACAGGAGCCAAGTTGCACACAACAAGCTCCCACAAATAACAAGGAGATAATGGCCAGGTGATAAGGTTTTATTAAAGTTGTTTGACTGGGACACTGGGAAGAACTCCACTGCACATGTTCTAAAGTTGTGCTGAGGATCATCGACGACATCCACTGGAAAGAGCAGACGAAGCCGTGGCTTAATGTCTCATTCAAAAGATATCGCCTCTCAATACTGCATTGGGAATGTCAGCCACAGTTGTGTGCTCAGGTCTTTACAGTGGGACTTGATCGCACGACCATCTGACTAAGAAGTAGAAGTGCTTCCCATCTAGTCACAGGCCCCAACATTTAAATGACAATTTACACACAAAGCTATACAATCCACTCAAAGTTCCTCCCCGAAATACTTACAGCCCTCTCGAGCCAGGTACAGGTTCCGTGTTCCAGACGGTTTCTTTGACTTCTTCTGGGTGAGTTTCTTGGCCTCTTCACGACTAACTGCCAAGGTCACGATCAGTTTCCGCCCATCCAGCTGGAGTCCTCCACTCTAGAAGTCAAATGTGTGTTTGTTGTCAAGACTTCCATGGGCTACATGATCGAGAGCCTCAAATTGTTGACAATGGGAGGAATCCAGACAGTGAACAGGAATGATCAGAGCTCAGAGAATTACCCAAATGGATGAGCCAAAAGGAAAGGTTTTTTCTCATGGTGGGAATAGAGGTAGCGAACAGATAGGGAGTTTAGCCGGCACTCCAGATTGCAAGAGTTGTGATGAACTTTAAAAATCACCCGCAAATAGTAAGGCAGAGTCTACAAAATAGAAATTATGTCAGAGGATTGGAAAGTGGTGGGGGGCATGAAGAGAGAGAGAGAGAGAGAGTGTGAGAACGAGAGAAAAAGGGTATGATAGAGATAACAGCAGGAAGCGGATGACTCAAAGCTGTAGCTGGGAAAGAAGGTGAGGTGTGGAAGTAGTGCAGGCAACTAAGATGAGTCACTCCTTTACAGTAAAAGAGTTATAAAAACAAAAATCAAGCAATAATAAAAATGCCATATTTTATTGTGATATTTTAAAATCTTATACAAGTGTACAAGGTATGTCCCTCCAGCAACTTTGACCACTTGACTGACCAACAAATTGGCCTAGTGGCAGTTGCTTGAAATAACAGGAATAACAAATGGGCCAACTCTCTGCAACTTCTACTGAAAACTGGAGGACATCTAGGATCCACAGCACAGGATATCATCAATACATAAACAATAGACGCTATAAATCCAGAAGTAGACAGCAAAAGATAAAAACTTTCATTTTAAAACGCTGTTGTGAACAGAAGGGAGGGACGGCTGTGGGAGTGTTGGCAATCCTTAATCTTAAAATTCTTGGGAGGAATGAAATAAAAATCAGAGACGTGTCTTAATTTTACTGGCCGGTCGAATGAGCATGAAATACTTAGTTCAAAGGCACAAGTTCCTCACCTCACTCTGGCTCTCCGCTGCCTCCACACACTTCTGCACCGACTCCTTTGTCACAAACTGAGCAAAAGCACAACCTGCAACAAATGGGAATTGAGAGGGTAGAAGACACAGCGCAATCAGACAGCACATATTCATTTCCCTCCCTTGATTCGGGAACCATTAACACAGCTAATTGACACTCAGTACCAGTTACGCTCTGCATATGGCCATAAAGCTATCTTCCCATTGTACAGTTACCGGCCACCACTGGAGAAATCCAAACACTAGGAATGACCAGCTTGATACTTTCAGTATCTCACCTTGACAGGATAAGATTTACTCTGCATAGTACTAATCAAAGTCAAGTCGGTAGGATGCATTCCACGGAGATAAAAGATCATGGGTTCAGGTCCCACTGCAGAGAATTTGACAAATACCCTAAACAGACACTGCAGTGAGGTATGAGAGACTGCTGCACTGCCGTAGATGCTGTCTTTCAGATAAGACATTAGTTATACAAACATCCAAAACCTTGTGTGGATCCAAGTGGATATCCTTCATTTAAAACCTGAGCACGCCACTTTACGATGATCTTGTGTACCCTAATTTAGAGGATTGAAGAGAGAGCAATCAGTAAGACTGGATGATTCTCCCCTCCTTAATACAGATTCACTGAGGTGAAAAATAGCATTACTTCACCTCCCCCTACCACCTACAGTCAACTAACACATTGTAGAACAGTGAGTGAAACTGGTTTGTGTATCCTGCACACTAACTACACACGCCTTGTGAACCGTTATCTATTTCTCCCCAACATACTGGATGAATTTTTTTTAAAGAAATAAACGTTCGTTGTCATGCAGAGTTCCCAGTCATTTCCCTCACCCTTGGAGTGTTCTGTGTCAGGGTGCCTGACTACACAAACATATTTCAGGTCTCCAAATTGCTCCAGCATTTCCCCCAGTGTATCTTCCTCAGTGTCAAAGGACAGGTTCCTGCAGGAGAAGTTAAAGAAAAAAACCTTTAGCCATCAGATAAATCAGGAAAGTGTACGGAGGCAACATATTAATGGTAAAAGCCCAAATTAATCAATGTGTGCAGAAGAAATTTCATCCAGGGATGGTGCTGTTGAGTAGACACAGCTCAACACAGACAAATGCATCAAATGACCATGGACTCTGCAGGAGTATGAAGATTGAGGGTGAGACATCCAGTAAGCCACTACTCCCTTCTACTAATGAACCATGGATTTAGGGCTAGACACATTCCTCAGGAGCCTCAAGAATAAGCTGCTTGCACAACCATCAAAAGAACTGGACAGGAGACGCAATCTCACTCTAGGAGGAAATACCAGAGTCTGGGATGCCAGCTCAGTCTAAACGATGTAGTGATTGGAACCTGGGCTAACCAAGGAGCCCTGGCTAACAGATATAAACAGGGGATTCAGAGAGTCTCCTGACTTCAGGGACTGACTCTGAGCTGGCCGGTCACAGCTAGCGTACTGTGCACATGTACACAAAGGGGACTTGGTGTCAGGATACTGGCCTCTGTGCAATTATTTCACACACCTAGCAAACAATATCTGAATTTCTCACACCTCTCAGGAGGGATCAAAAGTCTGAAGGAGAGAAGTCGGCCCTGCTGAGAGACCGCAAGGAGGAACTGCAGCAGCCTAAGTGACATTGTTTGCTTCACAGTCCATACACTGCTCAGGGGACTGGATGTACAGGCATTCCTCATCACTCTTTCACCCCAGAAATCAAAAGATATGCTCAGGAATGTAAATGTTCCCTGACAGTAAATTTCATTCTTTGTACCCTGTTATTGACGATTAATTTGCAGAAAGGTTGTTTGAGCGCTTGCTTTGCTGCATTCCAGCAGAAGCAAGCTAGAGTTCAACAGCATACTGCTAAATTTAGATTGCCCACCTCCCAACATAACCTCCTTTGGAAACATTTCAAGTCAGACCTGATGAAGATTGTCCGCCCTTCATGAACATCCACTGGGAGACTAGCCTTTCTCAACTTCTTTTTTTTCACAGGCTTTTCATCTGAAGGAAAAAAAATTCAACTGTTATTGACCAGATGTCCCTTTAGTACAAACTCAAGGCAACCTCCTCGCCCTCCACTTTCTGTAAAGGTATTAAATTGCCCCAATGTTTACAAATGTTTTGCATGGAGTTTTGACTCATTGCTCACCCTCCTCATCATCCTCTGATACTTCCTCATTTGACACTTCTTCATCTGACACATTTCCATCTGACGCATCTTCTTCATCATCAGTTTCATCATCTGAAGCTTCTATCACAACCTTCTCCTCCTTTGTTGCTGACCTGAAATGCAAGTTATTCAAGTCCAATTTAACTCAGACATAAAATTGGAATCAACCCGAGATCAGGCTTGCAGGTGAGAATGAGAAAGAAACAAATGAATTCATTTCAATTCAAGCAAACCAATGGCTTGAGCAGGACATAAACAATGACACAACAGATGGGCATAAAGGCCTGCTTGCATTTTGAAGACTACAAGTGAAGTAGATTCATCCACTAGTCCAGTTGATCAGAACAATCCAAGGATAAGCATCAGTGATCATTATAGTGTAAGATCATTCATTGCTCACCTTGGATTCAGAAAGTCCTGGGTTGAAATCTGACAGCAGACACTTGAGCATGCAAGTTATGTAAAAAGATGAGATTCTAGTCAGATCACCAATTAATCCTTTGTAATTAAATTATATACAATTCAAGTCCATGGAGCCTATCTCAATTTAACCAGAATCTTTCAATTTTGGACTCTATTTCATACAGTTTACGGCACAGAAACAGGCCATTCATCTCAAACAATCTAAATTAGAATCAGCACTAAGTCTCCTCTTGTCATATTTTACCCAACTCTTATCAGTACTTGTCCAGTTACTTTCTGTCATGCACATATCTAGCTTTCTTTGAATGCAAATACATTATTTGCCACATCACTCCTTTGCTTCTTGTGGTAGTCAGTTCCAGAAAGAGTAGCTGAATATGATCAATTGGATAGCTCCAAATGCACAATGGATCAATTGGCCCCCTTCTGCTTGGTTTCATTCAACTCTATCCCATATTTCTGCTTTGGGTTTCCACAAGTGAAAATATTTTCTCTAGCACTACGCTATCAAATTATTTCCTAAATTTAAGGCCTTTAGTGGATTAACAAATTAGGAACATAAATGCAAGGAATTGGAAGACTTGAATCTCAAAGAGTCAATATGCAGATACCATAAATTATTAGGAAAGCAGTTGTACTTTTAACATTTATTGCACAATGAACAAGTGTAAAAGCAGGGAAGTGTTGCTACAGGTGTACAGGCCTTCATTAACCCATATCACATAATTCTTTGAAGTTGACGTCACATATAGACGGGGTGGTTAAAAAGCGTTTGGCACACTTGCCTTCATTGCTCAGTTCTTTTGAGTACGCGGATTGGGAAGTCATGTTGAGATTGTACAGGACATTGGTGAGGTCTCTTCTTTAATACTGTGTCCAGTTCTGGTTGCCCAGTTATAGGGAGGATAATATTAAGCTAGACAGAGTTCAGAAGAGATTTACCAGGATGTTACTGGGTCTAGGCCCGAAACGTCAGCCTTTCTGCTCCTACGATGCTGCTTGGCCTGCTGTGTTCATCCAGCTCTGCACCTTGTTGTCTCGGATTCTCCAGCATCTGCAGTTCCTACTATCTCTGTTACTGGGTATGGAAGGTTTGAGTTATGAAGAAAAGCTGGATAGGCTGGGACTTCTTTCACTGAAATGTAGGAGGTTAAAAAGTGACCTTTTGGAAGTTCATAAAATCACAAAGGGTATAGATAGAATTAATGGTAGTTGTCTTGTCCCTAGGATGGGGGATTTCAAGATTAGTGGGGACATTTTTAAGGTGACAGAAGAAAAATTTAAAAGAGACATAAGGGACAAATTTTTACAGAGGGTGGTTCGCGTGTGCAATGAACTTCCTGAGGAAGTGGTGGATGTGGGTACAATTACAATGTTTAAAAGACATCTGGACAGATATATGAATAGGAATTTTTTGTAGGGATATGGGCCAGGAGCAAGCAGGCGGGACTAGTTTAGTTTGGGATTATGTTCGGCATGGACTGGTTGGACCGAAGGGTCTGGTTCCGTGCTGTATGACACTATGAGTCTATGTACAGCTTTGGATTCCTTACTTGAGAAATGATAGAATTGTATTTGAAGCTATCCAGAGAAGGTTCAAATAACTGATTCCTGAAAGGATGGGAAAAGGTAATGAGGAAAGGTTAAGCAAGTTACGTCTATACTGTTAGGGAAGTGATCTTGTTGACTCATAAGACCGTAAGACATAGGAGCAGAAATTAGGCCATTGGCCCATCAAGTCTGCTCCGCCATTCAATCGTGGTGGATACGTTTCTCAATAGCATTTTCCCACTTTCTCCCTGTAACCTTTGACCTTCTTCACAATCAAGAACCTATCTATCTCTCTCTGTCTTAAATCCTCCAAGTATTCCCAATGCAATATTATAAATCAAATCACTACAATGTACTTGACAAGGCTGAACCTAGTGGCTCAGATGGTGACACCAACCACCAACTTCGCCAAACAGACCTCAAGTTAGATTCTCAGATTTCACCTGAGCAACAATTGGGATGCAGCAGTCATATCCCATTGCCTCTGAGCTCATGCTGGCAAAGAGGAAATGAGAAAATAAGGGCCCCAACAATCTCTCAAGTTCAATGCATCCTGGAATGTATGTGGAACTCCAATAGGGGGCATACGACTATGATGCTCCTCTCTACAGATGAACAGCCTACTGTTGCTCAGTGCCTGTTGGTTAGAACAAGGTTTGATGACATCCATCATGGGTCAGTGCCTTCTGGAGGGAGAGCAACATACCGACTTCCAGCTGCATCTGGAAGGAACCACTCTCAAGCAGCTCACAGTATCAACCTATAGAGTGAGGATTAACACTATGCTCCATTACCTCTTCTTGGACACCACATTCCCCTGTAGCATCACTTTCGATTCTTTAGCAGGTTCTTTTTCTGGTTCGTCCCCAGAGTCCTTGCCATCTTCTTGCTGACTTTTGTTGTTTTTATCTGCAGCCTGAACAGTTTCCTTACTCTCAGCTCCTGTCATTAATGATAACAAACAGCGTTGAAATTTCCAGCCAGAACATACATTCACAGAAACTGACATCCCAACTAGTCCTTTTCCCTCATCACCTCCTTTGCTCGCTGATTGGCACTGGGTTCAGGTCAGGGAAAACCTTGAGCTTTTAAAATCTCATTCTTGCTTTCATCATGACCCTCCTGATCTCTCTAGCCTCCCTGCAAACTTCTTGGATCTCTACCCTCCAATTTTTGTTGCTTACTCATCTCTAATTTTCTTCACTCTACCAATGGTATTCATTCCTTCAGATTCCTAAACCTTACATACTGGAATTTTATTCCTAAACCTCTCCACCCTTCCGCTCTTTAAAGATATTCTTTAAAACCTGTCCTTGTGTCAAAGTTTCCAACCTAATTTCTAGATTATGTGATTTAGTGTCAATTAGTTTTTGACAACTGTCATCTAAAGGACCTGGACATGTTACTGTTAAAGGCGTTATATAAACACAGGCTTTTTAGTACAGATGGGCAACAAACTGCAGAAAAAGCTGCAAAGGGGAAATTCAAGGGAAATTTCTCCTTTCACAAGGTCATCGATTAGAAAATCTCAGGGTATCAATAACTTGGGATAAGCTGTTCCAGTTACCTGCACTCTTGAGATTCACTGTTGTGCTGTACTTGTCCTTGGCCACCGCCCAGTCCACCGCCACAGGACGACCTGAATAAAAAAAGGATATCAGATACAATCAGCTTAGTATGACTGCTCCTTCCAGCCTTTCCTCTTCTCTCTCAAGGCACAACCTCCCATTTGTGAAGCTTGCCGTATAACCACATAACCCACCTTCCGATCCCCACCTCCACCCACCATACTGTAGCTGCAAAATTCTCTCATTACCCTTAATTTCCTTCAGGTTCATTCCCTTCAAGGCTTTCCCAGCTTCCAGAAGGTTCTTAAGTTGAACAAATGCAAATCCTCGCATTTTCCCATCTGAGAAAAAAAAAACAAAATACACAGGACATTCAAAAATGTGATGTTTGAATTTGAAAAATCCTATCAAATATGACATCTCTTTAACAAAGAGAAATAATTTGATCTCTGTGCAGCTATGACTCAAAGTATAAAGAAAATTATACATTTGGGATGAAGACAGAATTCACACAAGAGTTAGGTTGTGATCACTGACACAAGAGAGACAGCCACCGACATGGCATGGAGATACATATATGCTTCACCATTGAGTCAATTTTGAGTGCAAAGGTGGGACAATGATAGAACCAAAGCAAGTCTGCTGTCAATTCCTGAAACTTCACACACCATTGGAGCCCTTTCCAATTTGCACTCCCTTTTGTTCCTCATAGGATTATTTATTTAATAACTTCTCTCAAATTTCTAGTGATGTCTATGTCTGTACATTTTGCAACTGACAAGAAGGCTGCAAGCTCAGACGAACAGCCCGGTCCAGATTGGATTAGATGCCTAGCTGTGAAATTATCAAGCTTCCTGAATCAAATGGTTTTCTCTCTAATGACCAACCTTCTTTCCTAGGAATGTGAACCTCCAGCACAGTCCCATATTGCGAGAAAAGTGTCTTCAGGTCATCTTCTGAACACTGAAAAGAAAACTGACCATTAGTTAGAGTTCCGAGGGTATTGGCCACAATTGAAAAGAGGGAAATATTTGGACAGAAGTATGTAGAGATACTGAGACGATCGTTTCAATAATGCTATCAATATGCCTTCTGAAAATCACCACACTCCTCTAAAAATCTCATTCGCAAAACCTCTGTTCTTGCAAATTATCATAGGGCTTATTTTTCCTTCTATTTATGTTACTACACCATCTCCAAACTCTCTTTCCTCTCCAAAATCGTTGAGCTGGCTGTCAGCTCATAAGTTCATGCCTTTCCCCAATCCACCTTCACCACAAAGTTGTTTGAACCAGTCCCTCAGGTTCAGCACTCAAACAGACTTGAACAAATACTATAAATGGTAACTTCTGGGACTGTGATCATGAGAGTCAGCTCTGCTCATCCTCCCATAGTCTTTAGCGAGTACACCACACTATTTTCCTCCACTACCTCTCTTGACCTCTCCACTGCCCCTGTCCTGATAGACATCACTGCCTGGATGAAAGGATTTCACTCAAACATTAGCAGCACTGAAACCATTACTTAACTGTCTGTCAAAAATGCCAGTCACTTGCCATGGATTTCATTCACTCCCCCATCTACCGTCTCTGGTCAAACTAAATCATTCAGTGTTGCAGATCAATTTAACTGAATTGAGTTTCCAACTTCATGTCCTTCACATCACAAAGACCATCTGTTCTACTTTCAGGAGTCACAGGAAGCAGACCAAAGCCCCACTGGATGGGATCTCAATGAGTGGAGAAAAGTGCAAAGTAGTTCACAGTTAATTTACCCTATAAAGGCTGCAATGATACAGATTCTGAATTCAACCCAAATGTTACAGTGCAGATACTTCACTATCAGTTAAGCTGTTTCAACATTTTTAAAAAATATATTCTTTCAAGGAATCTCTGACATTACTAGTAGTTATTGCACCTTCCTAATTTCCCAGTGTTAAGTCACTTTCTTGATCTGCTCCAATCCTTATGGTGTAGGGTGGTAATTCCAGGATCCAACAACAGTGAAAGAACAGCAAAATACTTCCAAACCAGTGTGGTGTATCACTTGGGAGGGAAACCTACAAGTGATAGTGTTCATATGAGCCTATTGACCTTGTTATTCTAGGTGGTGGAAGTTGCATATTTGGAAGGCGCTGTTGAAGGATGCACGTCAAGATGCTGTAGCATATCTAGTACTTGATTCATTCTGCTGCGCAGAGAATGAATATTTAAGATGCCAATCAACAGGTTGTTTTGCCCTGAATGGTATCTGAACTTGATTGTTGTTGGAGATGCACCAATCTAGGCAATTGGAGAGTATTTCATCATACCCTTGACTTGTGCCGTATGGACAATATAGACTTTGGCAAGTTAGGCGAGTTATTTGTTGCAGTATTCCGAGTTTCTTACTTATCACACAGTCACAGCATATAGTGTCTTGTCTAATGAAGTTCCTAGTCAATTATAACCCCGAGGAGGTTAATGATAGGAAATTCAGCAACGATAATGTCATTGAATGTCAAGGGAGATGGTTAGATTCTCTCTTGTTGGAAGCAATCATTCCTGTTTGCGACCTGCCACTTATCAGTTTAAGTCTTATGTTGTCCTGGTTTGTGTGCACATATGCATAGACAGTTTTGTTGTTTTAGAAGATACGAATGACACTGAACATCGCACAATGAGCTGTCAGCATCCCCACCTCTTGCTTTATGATGGGACGAAGGTCACTGACAAAGCACCTCAAGATGTTCGGTTCTAGGACAATGTTACAAGGTAGTCTTGCAACAATGTTCTAGAGCTGAGATGACTATTCCTCTACCCTAGTCCTTTAGACTACGTATGTGTTTAGCCACTGGAGTGTATCCCCTAATTCCCACTAACTTCACTGAATGTTTGATTCATCACACCCTACTATCAGCAGACTTTGGATCCACCAAGATAATTTCTTGTGAGTTAATTTCAAATACATCTAACAATTCACTTTACTATACTACATTATGAACTTACAGTGTGGAAAAGAGAAAGGGACGGTATTAGACGGTGTGTTGGATTGGGAAATGTGGATGTACAAAAGGATCTGGATGTCCTTGTACACCAGTCAATGAAAATAGACAGGCAAGCGCAGCAAGCAAATAGGAAGGCAAATGTTATATTGGCCTTCACTGCAAGGAGGTTTGAATTTAGATGCAGGCGTGTCTTGCTGCAGTCATACAAGGCCTTGGTAAGACCACACTTGGAGTACTGCATGCAGTTATGGTCTCCCTACTTAAAAAGGGACATACCTACACTAGAAGAAGTGCCACAGGCTTATACTGGAGATGGCAAGTCTGTCTTACAAGAGGAAATTTGTTGAACTGGACCTGTATACATTGAAGTTCTGAAGGATGAGAGGGGATCGATTGAAATGTATAAAATTCTAACAGGGATGGACAGTGTAGGCACAGGAAGGATGTTTTCTGTAGTGGGGGAGTCTAGAGCCATGAATGACAGTCTCAGGACACAAGGTAGGTCTCTTACGACTGAGGTAGGAAACATTTCTTCACTCAAAGGATTGTGAACCTGTGAAATTCTCTGACAAAGGCGGCAGTAGAGGCCAAGTCACTTAGAATATTCAAGAGAGAAATATATAATTGTTTTAGATTTTAAAGGCATCAAGAGTATGAGGAAAAAGCGGGAATATGGCATTGAGATAGAGGATCAACCACAATCATATGGAATAGCAGAACAGACTTGATAAGCCAAATGGCCTACTCCTGCTCCTAGTTTCTATGCCTACATTTCTATGTATTTAACGTCACCACTGCTCTGAATCATAGGCTGGTTCTCAATGTAAATTCACAGTGAAAACTGACTCGTAGGTGACCCTGGAGACATTTATTACAGGATTCGATATCCTAGAGACAAACTTCCACGCACAACACTAACAGATCACAGCACATAGTCTTCAAGGAGTTTTTTTTTTAATAGTTTTGGGAAACAAGAAGAACTTTTAACATTCCACTACCATGTATGTGACCAAAGAGATGTGTGAGGCACCCCAGAGCTAACCAATCAATATTGAGGATACAGAGACTATTAAACAAAGGAAGAAAGGGATTTGATGAGCTGACATTACTTTAGTCAAATTATTTCAAAAGAAAAGAGGGTCATACACAGTGAAAATCATCCCTTCTCTCTCTAATTACTATTGGATATATTCAGGTAAAGACATACAACCCCTCAAATGCAGGACAAACTGGCTCCCAAAATAATTTGTCTCTTCTGCATAAGGACTTTTAACAGAAGCTGACAAGGATATATATTAAAGGTGGACTTGTTGATTGATTATTCTACTTGAATTAGAATAGTTTTAACACATTTTTAATTAAAGTTAGACTTCTGTGATTGAGTCTTTTTTTCCTTATTATTTATCTGTATGTAATTGTGGACCAAATAAACAATGCACCCAACAAAACCTCCGTATGGAATTTTCTGTGTAAACAATAAAGTGAAAGTAGAATGAAATTTTTCGTGCATTCCTTGAATGAATTATGACTTAGTACCTTAAAACTCAGGTTTCGAACTATCAACCTTGCTTTCCTCTGCAATTTCTTCTGAGCTTGTTGTTTTGTATTGGCTTTAGAAGCTTCCTTGGTGGCTGTAAAGGAAATGTAAAATTGCCATTTGATAGTAAAAATCTTGGATATTGCTGAAAAAAGACATGCTGTTGCAATTTTTCATCTTATAATCATCAGGACGCTTGCAATATTTTGTACTGTGTGACAAGACAGTGTTGATTGGTTCGTAATGGGACTCTGATTGGTAGAGGGATGGCCATGGAGAATGCACAAGTTAGATGATAACTGACTGTTAATTGACAGGCTTTGGTTAAATTTAAATCAGACAGATTGACTCTAATGGTTAAGGCATCGACCGGAGGAATACACCCGAGAATAGCTGTCACCGATACTGTCAATTTGAACCAGGTGCAGTGTGTGTACACATTGATTCTATCTGCAAAGAGCAGGGTCCTGTGTGTTAACATACTGGAGCACTCACCTGCTTTCTTTCCTAAAAGTTTCTTCTTGGCAAGAGAAACAGAGAGTTTTTGGCCATCATAGAATTTCACTTCTTTCAAAGCTTTCTGTGCATCTGCTGGAAGTGAAAAGGTCACATACCCGAAACCACGACAAGTCTGACTCCCTGGGGGAAAAGAAAGAAGGAATCAAACCACTGCTCTTCATTAAATTGAACCAAAATGAATGACAACATTGCTACATAGCACTGAGTAATGGACACATCCAATAGCAGTACGTTGGAAGTCCAGTGTTCCACCATCAACAACTCTGTGCTTAAAATTGCAAGAGAGTAATGTTGATTCCATCTTGTTAGCTTAGATATGTCAACAGCACTTGTTCCAGTTATCACAAATTGCTGGAGGACTGCACCACCACATTAACCACATGAAAGCCCCAAAAGAAATCATCACCTCACAGCAACTTTCCCATTGTGTGTCATAAAATTGGTGGATTTGTATAATTGATTTGTGTTAATCTCACCACAGCCATTTGGGCTAGAAATCCATGTAGTAAATACACTATTGTTGTTGGATTTATGATTCTGACACAAAATTCAACTTTGAAAGCCAATACAGGCGACAAGTTAATTGGAGACGGATGTTTGCGGGTAAAAGCATGGCCAGAAAATGGAAAGCCTTCAAAAATGAGATAATGAGAGTCCAGAGACAGTATGTTCCTGTTAGGGCGAAGGGCAAGGCTGGTAGGTGTACGGAATGCTGGATGACTAGAGAAATTGAGATTTTGGTCAAGAAAAAGGAAGCATATGTCATTTACAGACAGCAGAGATCAAGTGAATCCTGAGAAGAGTATAAAGGTAGTAGGAGTATACTTAAGAAGGAAATCAGGAGGGCAAAAAGGGTTAAGGAGAATCCAAAGGGATTTTATAAAATACACTAAGGACTAAAGCGTAACTAGGGAGAGAAAAGAGCTCCTTAAAGATCAGCAAGGCCGCCTATGTATGGAGCTGCAGGAGATGGGGTAGATACTAAATGAGTATTTTGCATCAGTGTTTACTTTTATGGTAGGTTATAGAAGATAGAGAACAGGGGAAATAAATAGCGACATCTTGAAAAATGTCCGTATTACAGAGGAGGTCATGCTGGACGACTTAAAATGCATAATGGTGGATAAATCCCCAGGACCTGATCAGGTATAACCTGGAACTCTGTGGGAAGCTGGTGAACTATTTGCTGGACCCCTTGCTGAGATATTCTTACCAATAGCCACAGGTGAGGTGCCAGAAGACTGGAGGTTGGCTAACATGGTGCCAATATTTAAGTAAGGTGGTAAGGAAAAGCCAGGCAACTATAGATCGGTGAGCCTGACATTGGTGTTGGGCAAGTTGTTGGAGGGAATCCTGAGGGACAGGATTCACATGTATTTGGAAAGGTAAGGACTGATTAGGGATAGTCAACATGATTGAGTCTTTTGAAGAAGCAACGAAGAGGACTGATGAGGGCAGAGTGGTAGACATGATCTATATGGACTTCAGCAAGGCATTCAACAAGGTTCCTCACGGTGGACTGGTTAGCAAGGTTAGATCACATGGAATATAGAGAGAACTAGCCACTTGGATACAGAACTGGCTCAAAAGTAGCACACAGAGGATGGTGGTGGAGGGTTGCTTTTCAAACTGGAGGTCTGCGACCAGTGGCGAGCTACAAGGATTGGCGCTGGGTCCACTGCTTTTCGTTATTTATATAAATGATTTGAATGTGAACACTGGATGGCAGGACAGACAAAGCATCACAGTTGCATCATGAGAAATCCTGCCAGCCAGTTTGATTGAGGACAAACACACCTGAGCTAAACGTTTGAAGTTTTCTCATTACGTCGGTCTTCACGGATAGCATATGTTTTAAGACTTAAATACGGGCAATTATGATGGAACAAAAGCAGAGTTGGCTGAAGTTAAATGGGAAATTAGATTAAAGCTTTGGTCAAGAGAGATGCAGTGGCAGACCTTAAGTGGAATATTTCAGAAAATGCAGATTAGATACATTCCAAATAACAGACCCAAGTGAAAAAAAGGCATATAATTTTGCAAAGATAGGTCAGGAGACTGGACAGAATATAAAAATCAGCAAAGAATTACTAAAACAAAAATTACTAAGGATGGAAAAATTAGAGTACAAGAGGAAGCTTGCTTGAAATATAAAAAAACACATGGTGAAAGTTTCTATAAATATTTTAAAAAGAAAGAATTAAAAAAGTGAGCATTGGTCCTATAAAATAGAAGTTTATATAACGGAAATGGAAAATTTAAAAAATGACAGTCTTCACTATACAGGATATATGTAACCTTCTAGAAACAGCTATAAATCAGGAAATGTGAGGAAGGAACATCGGTAAATTACAATTACTGCAGAAATGGCATTGAGCAAATTGTTACAGCTGCGGATTGACAAGTCCCTAGGTCCCAACGAACTTCATCCTAGAGTCTTAAAAAATGTTGCAGGTGAAATAGTTGATGCATTGGTTTTAAATTTCCAAAACTCCCTAGATTCAGAGAAGGACCCAACAGATTAGAAGATAGCAAACATAACTCTGTTGGTCAAAAACATAGGGCGAGAGAAAGCAGGAAACAACATGCTAGTTCATTTAACATTTGTCATAGGGAAGATATGAACAACTACTATGAAAGAAGTAATAATAGAGCACAAGTTCAATGTGTTCAGGTGGGGTCACCATGATTTTGTGAAATGGAAATGTTTAACCAATCAATTGGAATTCATTGAAGTAGTAACTGGTGTTGTGAATAAACGGGAACCAGTGGATGTGCTGTACTTAAGAATTCCAGGATGCATTTGATGAAGAGCCATGTCAACAGGTATTATGGAAAATAGGAGCTAATTTTGTAGGAAGTAGCATATTGTCATAGATAGAAGATTGGCTGGCTAAGAGAAAGTAGACAGTAGGCATAAATGGGTCTTTTCAGGTTGGCAAGATGTAGTGAGTAGTGTGTGTAGCATTAGGATCTGAACTGTTTACAATTTATACAAATGACTTGGGCGAAAGGACAAAAAAATATGGTTTGCCAAATTTGCTGACGACACAAAGATAGATAGAAAATTAAGTTGTAAAGAGGACATAAGCAGGTGACAAAAAGGTATTTATAAGTGAAGTTAGCTGGCAAAGATACGGCAATTGGAACATAATCAGTTCCTTCAGCTTTTCTTACTCGCTGTGCTGATCTCTGAGTTCTGTGCACAGCAATGACTTCTGCAACTGGAAGACTGCAGGAGGGTATGTGAGGATAAGCACCTAACCTAAAAAAAGCTCAGGTGATAACCTGAAGAAGCTGCAAAACAGGACTACTTGGACACTAAAAATGCAAGCAGCATGGAACTGACAGGGCTAACTGGTCCCATAATCAATTTATCAGTTCTAAACTTTATAGACTGCCTCATTCAGTCATGAATGAAAAATAAATGGAAAGGAGGGTCCACAAATATCCCCATTCTCAACGATGGAGGAGTCTACCACATTAGTGCGAAAGACAAGGCAGAAGTATTTGCATCCACCTTCAGCCAAATATGCCAAGCAGATGATCCATGTCGGCCTATAACCTCAGGCTCCCAGCATCACATTTGTCAGGCTGAATCTGCTGATTACTGCAAAGACAATGTGCCCTGACATCATTCCAGCAAAAATACTGAAGACATGCTCCAGAACTAGCCACGCCCTGGCAAATCCATTCTGATACAGCTAAAACACTGACACCTACCTAACAAAGTGGAATAAAGCCCAGTTATGTTGCTATGCACAAATAGCAGGACAAATAATCTGGCCAATTACCACCGTTTCAGTCCACTTTACATAATCCTAATATCAGTCAAGAACCTATCTATCTCTGTCTTAAATACAATCAATGACTTGGCCTCCATTGCTTTCTGTGGCAATCCACAGATTCACCACCTTCTGGCTGAAGAAATTCCTCCTCATCTCCGTTCTAAATGGCCATCCCTTCACTCTTAGGCTGTGCCTTAGGGTTGTAGTCTCTCCTACTAGTAGAAACATCTTCTACATGTCCACTCATAATACAGACTGGCCTGGAAAGTACTCTGTAAGTTTCAATGAGGCAAAGAGAGAATATAAGATACCAGCAAGTAATTTTAAAGGATGCAAGATCTTCTGTAAATTCAAAAGGGTAGCAAGAGATGCGGGGATGATGAGGGACCAGAAGGTTATTCATACAGGCAGAAGGCATGGCTGAGTTACTAAATTAGTATTCTGTACCTGTCCTTTCCATGAAAGAAGATGCTACTAAATTGATGCATACTGTGAAAACTTTTAGAAACAATAATCTGGACATTTTTAATTGAGTTTACCCAACTTGACTGCATTTTTGATGATATAACAGAGTTGACAAGGTTCATGTGATTGATGTGATGTATATGTGATGTGATGCACTTCAAGAAGGTATTCCATAAAGTGTCACATATTAGACTTGCCCCCAAAGTTGAAGCCTATAATAAAAATTATAGTGACAGTAGAGATACAAAGTTAGTGACAGGAAACAGTAGTGGTGAACAGTTGGTTTTTGGACTGGAGGAAGGTAAACACCAGTGTTTCCCAGACACTGATACGAGGACAACGCTTTTCTTGAAATACATCAATAATTTAGATTTGGGTGTACAGGGCATAACTTCAAAATTTGCAGATGACCAAAAATTCAGAGGCATTATGAGCTGTGAGGGAATATAGTTGAAAATCTCAAGAGGACAGAGACAGATTGCTAGATTAACGAGAAACATTACTGATTTTTTTTTGCAGAAAAGCATCCAATAATATATTTGGTACTAAGATTGAGGCAAGGTAATTTAAAATAAAAGGTACAATTTTAAAGAGGATTCAAGAACAGAAGAGCTAGTATATGCTCACAAATTGAAGATAGCTGTCGAAAGGGGAGTTAAAAAAACACATGGGATCCTGGTCTTTATAAATTGAGGCATACAATACATGGCAAGAACATTATTATAAGCCTTTATAACATACAGGTTCAAGCTCAATCTCAAGTATTTTGTCAAATTTGGGCACTATACCTTTAGAAGGAATATGAAGGATTTACACAGGGTGCAGAAAAGATTTACGAGAATGGTTCCGGGGGGATGCAGTTATAGAAATAGATTGAGAAGCTGAGGTTGTTCTCCTTAGAGAAAAGAACGTTGACAGGTTTGAAGGAGGTCACTTGAGCAAAAAACACTAAGCACGACATTCCGCTACAATACTGAGGGAGCACTCAGCCAGTCTTTCAGATGAGCTAAACCAAGGCCTTATCTAATTATTCAGTGGATCTAAAAGATCCCACAGCACAATTTTGATGAGTGATGTGCCAATATCCATTCCTCAATCAACATTAGACACACACAAAGATGATTATCTGCTCATGATCACTTTGTAAATCACTTTTCATTAAAATGCAAATGCTCTTCTGCAAGGCTGACACAACCACTGTTGCAGAAGAGTTGTTCAAAATCATGAGGCAAATAGACTGGTTACAGAAAAATAGAGAAACCGTTCCCATTTGTGGAATGGCTGAGAACTAGGACATAGCGATTCAGGACGACTTGTGAAAGATCCATCATGAGGAACAACTGCTGACTGTTAACAGAACCTGAATGCACTCTTTTAAGAGTGTGGTGAAAGTAAATTCAATTGTGGCTTTCATAAGGGAATTAAAAAGGCACCTGAAAATGGGGGGAAAAAAATTGCAGGGCTATGGGAGAAAGGCACGGGCGAGGAACCTGAGATAACACAGTGTGGAGCTAGAGGAACACAGCATCAGCATCCTCCAGCATCGGCAGTTCTTACTAACTCTGAGGGGAAGAGGAACTTGCCGAGTTGTTCTTGCTTAGAATCGGCACAAACACCATGAGCCTAATGGTTCTTCTGCACTGTGACCATTCTATGTTTCTATAAGCCTTTCCCACGCGACTGGTAAAGCCTATCTCTCCGCTTTCTCTGGAAATTAGGAAGATTTCAGCAAAAATCAGCTGAACCAGGGAAAGGGGGCGGGCCTCGTGAGTACTTTACAGAGGGTGGGAGTTTGGCTTGGGGTGGAACATGATGCCAAGATGGGTCAATAACGTCCAGTCTGAATCCAGCGGTCAATGGAACATCATCGGTGCAGGTAAAGGAACATGAGTGGAACATGAGTGAAACATGAGTGAAACATAAACATCATCATCATCATCATCATCATTTCTCACCGGCGTGCTGCCCCTTCACCACGTGTTTCCCCCTCCTCAATTCCCCACCTCACCTTTCTCCTTTACCACGAAGCAATGTTTGATCGGCCCCAGCTCGCTGTAAATCTCTCCCAGTCGCTCGCCATCCGCAGTCGCGGGCAGATTTCGTACAAACACCGTTGTCAAACGACCGTTAACCGCCGCCAGCCCCTCTCCCGCGGCGGCGGCCATCTTTAATGTGCTACTCTTTATCCCCTCCGACTGGAGCAGAGCAGGTACTGTAAACGGTCCGGCTGGAGAAAAACGTTCCTATCCCTGTGTCCCACTTACCCAGTAGGTCTCAAAAGTCGTTTCTTTTTTGATCATTCTTCGACGCATGATTTTGCATTAATTATTGAATAAAACCCGAAAAAACTGCGGATCGTGCAAATCAGACACAAAAATAGAAATTTGCTGGAAAAGCTTAGCAGGTCTGGCACCATCTGTGGAGAGAAAACAGAGTTAATGTTTCTGGTCGAGTGAATCTTCCTCAGAATCTCTCTGCCCTGTTCATTTCAGTTTTCTGTGCTTGTATGTCTGGCGTTATGATTGTTGTAGGTGATTTTATTTTACTTGAGCTGTCATAGGTTGCTACATCTTGCGAGTGGATATTGAAAGGCAATACCTAATCAATCTTGGCAACCCAATCCCATCAAGAGACAGCGACTTGCTCAATGGTCACTCAGATTGCCTGGTGGACTATCTAGTATCTCACATCTGCATCTGTTTGTTTCTATCACAAGTGTGAGCAACCATGTCCTCAGTGGGTAGTCCTGGTCTCCTCATATCCAGCCTGAAGGTACATGGAGCTAGAAAAAATGTGAACTTCTGAAGTATATATCCATCTAAGGTGGGTGCAGACCCATTAGACATTGATGGAATAGAAACCCTTCCTGTTGATGTACGCCACTGGCTGGGTCCGTGGGATACTAAATGCCCACATGAGTTCAATCTTTCATACCCTGAAGGAGGGCAATCGAGCAGTGACTCCAAAGACAATTCCCCTTTCAATTATAAATTGGAAAACCCAAATCCAACATCATTATTTATGAAATGTGGGAGACAAGAGACATGTCATGATAGGCCAGTTATCTGGTACTGTCACCAGAAAATTCTGGATTCATTTTGAAGGAAGCAGTAACAAGTCATTGCTTGATTATACGTAAGTTAAACATTACTTAAAAGAGACATCAATTCAATGTTTTTCGTCTTGCTTTCAGCAGGACTAACATGCAAGAAATCAAAGTTAAAAAGAGAACATCAGTTTATTTGTGAGAGAACAGGATGCTGACTGGTGGGATCATTTTTTGGCAGTGTCTCAGAGGTGGGGCAGCACTGGGACCTGAGATTTCTGACCCTGGCCCCTGGTCAGAGATGTTTCAGTTTGAGGAAGGAAGCTGTCATGACCAGGGTTTGGATCATGTTTGAATCCTATCTTCTATTTCTTATAGTTATAACTTTTATGCCTTATAGCTGTGACTGAAATTGTTTCTGGCTGTTAGATGAGTATCTTATTTAACAAAACAACGTCTGATATTATTCACTTACTCGATATTCTGGTATTGCTGACAAATCTGGAATATATAAACTGTGTTGTTTGAAGAAATTAATTTAAAACTTTTAAATTCATCAAGCTTACCAAATTCAGCTAATGTAAATGACATAAAATTCCATTAAAACTCACAATTGTAAAGTCTAACCATGATAGGATCTGAGTATTTAATTCTGGAATTGTTAAAATCCTACTGATTCATGGCTCAGTATCCTGGTTAATGCCAGACCTGGAGAGATGATGGCGCACATTCTACCTATCATTAAAGTTAAATTTTGAAAATCAATGGTTGTATGTTAGATAAACAAAGTGCATCACATACTTGATGCCAAACTGATATTCCTTAAAATTATTAAAAAATAATACCAATTATATTACTACCTGAGGATGGCAGAAGCACCAGACCGTCATTACAGCCTTGTTCCAAACTTAGACAAAAGGGCTGAATTCCAGGAATGGGGTGACAGTGAGAGACAGCAAGAACTGCCGATGCTGGAGTCTGAGATAACACAGTGTGGAGCTGGAGGAACACAGCAGGCCAGGCAGCATCAGAGGAACAGGAAAGCTGACGTTTTAGGTCGAGACCCTTCTTCAGAAATGGGGAAGGGGAAAGGTGCTCTGAAATAAATAGAAGGGGGGGAGGGCGCTGATAGCAGGTGGATAGTGGAGCGGATAGGTGGAAGAGAAGATGGACAGGTCAAGGAGGCGGGGATGAAGCTAGTAAAGGTGAGTGTAGGTAGGAAGTGGAGATGGGGGTTGGTCAGTGAGGTGGGAGGAGTGAATAGGTGGGAGAGAAGACGGACAGGTCAAGGAAGCGGGGATGAGAGGGGGCACTGGTCTTGGGATGAGGTCGAGGGTGGGGAGATTTTGAAGCTTGTGAAGTCGACATTGAGACCATTGGGTTGTAGGCTTCCAAGGTGGAATATGAGGTGCTGTTCCTCCAGTTTCCTGGTGGCATTGTTGTGACACTGGAGGAGGCCCAGGATGGACATGTTGTCCAGGGAGTGGGAGGGGGAGTTGAAGTGGTTCGCGACTGGGAGGTGTTGTCGTTTGTCGCGAACCAAGCATAGATGCTCCACAAAGCAGTCTCCAAGCCTCCGCTTGGTCTCCCTGATGTAGAGGAGGCCACATCAGGAACAGCGGACACAATAGACCACATTAGTGGATGTGCAGGTGAACATCTGTTTAATGTGGAAGGTTTTTTTGGGGCCTGGGATGGGGGTGAGGGGGGAGGTATAGGGGCAGGTGTAGCACCTCCTGCGGTTGCAGGGAAAAGTGCCGGGTGTGGTGGGGCTAGTGGGGAGTGGATGAGGGAGTCGCGGAGAGAGCAGTCCCTACAGAAGGCAGATAAGTGTGGGGAGGGAAATATTTCCTTCATAGTGGGGTCAGATTGCAGATGGCGGGAGTGGCAGAGAATGATGTGTTGAATCCAGAGGTTAACGGGGTGATACGTGAGGACAAGGGGGGTTCTGTCTTTATTTTTATTGCGGGGAGGAGGTGTGAGGGCTGAGGTGCGGGAAACGCAAGAGATGCGGTCGAGAGCGTTTTCGACCACTGAAGGGGGCACGTTGCGGTCCTTGAAAAAAGAGGACATCTGAGATGTCCGGGAGTGGAACACCTCATCTTGGGAGCAGATGCAGTGGAGGCGGAGGAATTGAGAATAGGGATTGCATTCTTGTAGGAAGGTGGGTGAGAGGAGGTGTAGTCTAGGTAACTGTCTCTCCCCAGTATAGCATTGAAAGAGCAGATGGGTAGAAAGGATCAGTGGGACAGGAAGGCTGCTATAAACTAGACTCACAGTAACAAACACACAACTCATGATGCAATTTTTATTCGTGGCTGAGAAACTAAGTCAGTACATTCATCATTGGCTGTGACCACAACTACAAGCAGATTGAGGCACTAAATTCACTCCCAGATAGGATCCATGGAGCAGCGATAGATTCTTTCAGTAGGAGCAGGACACAGCAGTTTGTAGGAGCAAAGGAAAAAGTAGTTTGTATCGCAAGACATATCATTCCAATAAAGTGTATTCACTGGACAAAAGAAGAGTTCAGTAAATCACACACCTATTTGTGTGATTGATTCGTTGTCTGTTTTTGGGATCATCAATGATTTTGTCCTTTTCCCCATTGCTTTATTTAGGATATAGGTAGCAACCCTAAATTTACTGGGTCAGCCAAAATGAAAAAAGGAAAATCATATGAAGCTTCCACTACTGAAAGATCAATTGATTGATGTTTTATACACAAAGCTGGTGGGGGAGGTGCTGTCCTTCATGAAGCTGGATATATTCCATGTGTTCCTGCAATTGTGGTTAGGTGAGGATTCCCAAATGTATGCTACAAACCCTTATGGGTATTTATTGTACCAATATCCGAGACTTTCTTTATTCATTCATGGCCTGAGGGCACCGCTGGCTAGGCAGCATTTATTGCCTATCCTTAATTGCCCACAGTGCTGACAGATCACAAGATGCCTATCTTCACAGTTAGCATAATCAATGTTAGGAAAGACCAGCGAACAGCAGCAGGGCAATCTGCCACACACAGCTCATTACAAATTACCTAACTAGATTATTCAGGGTACTGCCTGAGTGCTCCAATTCCAGTGGTCAATCCTTATCCAATCAACAAGGCTCTGCAGTAAGATTCTGTTTGGTTCATGATTCTCCAGTGTCCCTCTGAAGGAATCTTCACAAATAATGGACCAGACCCAGGTACTGCAGTAATAGCCCAGTGGCAGCATCATTCTACTCATAAAACCATACAGTACTCCAGTTCAGTAACTTTAGAAGAGATACCGCCATGTAGAGAGTGGCAGATGTGAGTGCACCTGTGTCAGGATAATGATCTCTTGCTGCTAGTCACTGCTGAATGGACGGCAGAAAATGCTGAAAGGGTTTGCATGGATTAGTCATGTTGTGTGCTTGACATACAGGAACCCCTTTCCACCAATCACTCCCTGGATAGTTGCTGGGCAAAGGGCATAAATGTGAAGCATTTGGCATCAGTTTATTTTCATGCCCATTTTTTTA